TTGTTGTCTAGTGGTAGCATGAGACAAAAAGTTTTGTTTTTCATTTCAACATTTGCCATGATGACATTTTTTTTTATCAAAGATTTTGTATCTTCCATCATCAAAATGAACCGAAAATTCTTTTGCAAAAGTTGTCCAATACTTAAGAGATTATATGAAAGATTTGGCACATAAAAAACATCAGTATTGAGTTCTTTGTTACCTTTCTTAGTTTGGATTGCAATGATGCCTTTTTCTTCTGCACTTCTTTGTGTTCCATCTCTAAGAATGATTTGAGAGATGATATTTGGATTGATTTCTACAAAGATATCTCTATTTCCTGTCATGTGATTGTTAGTACCGCTATCCAAATACCATTGATTTTTGGATTCAAAGTCACCATTTTGGTGAGTATAAAATAGAATTTCATCTTCATTTTCTTTTTAAAAAATTTCCATATCTTCATTTTTCTCCTTATTTTGAAACAAAAAATCCTTTTGAGAATTATTAGGAACTTTACATCTTTTGCATTGAAAATAGCAATCTTTTGATTCATGATCATTTTTTTTGCAAATAATGCAAGATTGAGCCTTAATTACCGGATTGTTGATATGCCTTGCTTTCCAATTGCTTTGATTTTCATTTTGACTCCACTTGTTAAACTTTCTCTTTCATTTTTTCCATTTGAACCTCCATGATTGCTTGAGCTTATTTTTTATGCTTGCTTTGATGGAAGGCTTGTTCGATTGATTGACTAGCTGAATGATTGATTTTTTTGCTCCTGTGCAGGAAGTTATCCGGTCAACTCATACATGGTCATTCTAGAGGAGTCCTTTGACTCTTCAATTGCAGTGGCTACATGATTGAATTTTTAATGGAGACAGCGAAGCACTTTTTCAACAACTCTTTTGTCTTTAATCGTATCTCTATAACAATTTATTTGGTTTACAATCTCTGAAACTCGTGAAGAGAAATCACGAATCGATTCCCGTTCTTCTATTTTGAGATTGCCAAAATCTTTTCATACAAGTTGAAGTTTCAAGGCGATAGTTTTCTTCGAAAATTGAAATTCTTGATTTAAAATTTTTCATACATCTTTGGCTTTTTTAACACCAAATATACAAGGAAAAATTGATTTTTCAACTCTTCGTTGAATATAAGCAACGACATTGCATCTTACTTTTTATATTCCTTTTGTAACTTTAGATCTTGTTCATCATCTTCAACGACATCCCATAAATCTAAAGAGATGAAAAATGTCTATATTCGACGACTCCAATATTAATAATGTTCACCTTCAAAGATTGGTTCCTGACTTGATGAATATGTAAACAAGGAGGATGTTGAATTTGTTGCTATTGTTTCCCAGTTTCTGTTGAAAGAATTAAAAATCTGTTGCTATTGTGGTGGTATCTGAAGCTGATTTTGTTCCAGCTTTTGGTAGGATTTGGTTTTTATATTCTGCCCATGCTCTAATACCAAAATTTGTTGGGTGTAGAAGGAAATAGTTATGAGAAATATGAGACTTCATTTATGAAATTTGAGAGATTACAAATGAGTTGTTACATCGCACTTTTTCTTTTTTCTTTTTTAAATAGAGATTTTTCTTTCACTTCTTCTATCTACGTAACACTAGATCTCTAGCTTCCTTTTATGGTGAACATGGAGTAAGTTGGACCTAATAATTCTCTACAATTACTTTTTTTCTCATCATTTGCAGTTGGTGAATCTATATTTGAAGCTGTGTTTGAATAATCAGAATGGGAATGGGTGCTGCCTGAAGCTAATTTCCAAATTCCAGCTTGCATATTTTGAATATTGAACTTGAATATACAACTTGAATTGTAGATCTTGTCCATTTGACCATTCTTTGAATCTTCCTATGTCGTTGAAATGTTTAATTTGAATTTGAATTCTTTGAAGATTACAAATTACTCTAGAACTTTTAACACTCTAATCCTAATTCACCAAATGATAGACACCAAATGATAGACAGGAAAAAAATTACATTACAAAGTGATGTCTACCCATTTGGAGTCGTTTTGCAGCTTTTGACTGGAAAGAGAGTAGTGGACCTAAAACAAGGACCAATTGACTAGAACCTGTTTTACAGATACTATAAAAATATTCGTCTTAGAATATCCTTAAAATCTCTCCAAACCTATTGTATATCACTATGTTTCATGCACAATAATGACCACTATAATTCAACACTATATTTCAGTCGTCAATTTTCCCCAAATAATCATGGTAGTTTCAATGTTATTTCCATCTCTTGCTTTTTCTTTTCAAGTTTGATTTGATGATGTGGCAAACACAATTGTTAATTTTTCAAACGATCTAGAGTGGTGAATTAGAAAAAAGTTAAAAAGTACAATACTATTGGGAAACAACTTGAGAGCACACAGATTATTTGAGGAAAAAAATTAAATTTCAGTGACTATTGGGTAAATAAGGTTGAGAGTACATTGATTCTTTTAGAAAACTATAACGTTTGGGAATCATAGTTGCCCAATGATATTTCTTTTTTTTCCTTACTAGATATTCCTTTTCTCTTTAATTTTGTGAGCACTTGCTTGTCTGACATGTTTTGTAAGGTACATTTGTTATATGTAGTCAAGAGATGCATCTGAATGTTACAACGACACATATTGAACGACAAGAAGAAATTGAGGAAAGTTATCGACCCGGAAATGAATCAGGCTTTGTACACGTTAGTCGATAATCATATTTGCAAAAACCTATCATCTCGATGTGTCTCAATCGCGGATAGCATGAAAGAACTCCAACTTATTCTCTACATAAATTCGAAAGGACTGGGATGGCATTGCATACTCTGAGAATGATCTGATTTGCAAGATTAGAAGCTTCCATCCAGACGTAAAAATTGTGGAAGCTCGAGAAAAACTAGGTCCAAATTGATGGTAGCCTATGTTTGGTCCTCATTTTATTTTCCATTAAATAATATTAAACGTAAATTGGAAATTTTTCCTTATTTTTAATCACACATTCTTCAAAAAAATTGTTATTCCAAAATTCATTTCTCCACAAATTTCCATTAAAATGGAGCCAAACAAAGGCACTCTTTAGTAATTTAAAGTTACCCTACAAGTTTTAAGAGAAAAATATAAAAATATTTCGACAGATGTTTTATTCTGCTGCAATTGGCTTGTGTATTTGCATGTTTTGGCAATAAAAAAAGAAGGGGTAACTAGCACAAAAGATCCATACCTTTCAATATTATTGTAAAAAAGTCCCTATATTTCATTTTTTGACATTTTCGTCCTTACCTTTAACCTTTCATTGCGCAAAAGGTCATTTTCATTTATTTTTTCAATAAAATAGCGATTTTACCCTTCTATTCAAATAAAACAAAAGAAAAAGATGAATTACTAACTGCAACCATAGTTTTAAAATTTTTAAAAAATTACAAAGAAATCATAAATTCTCTACCACCACCACTTTCACAACCTACCAAGCTACCATTTATAGATCCTCATATACCTTTCGGTCACCATGCCCACTGGACTCCATCCCAACCAACCTCGTTTTACTCCCCCACCATCTTCCCTCACACGAATTGAAAGATGAAGCACTTAGGACCCACCAATTTTGGTCAGATAGCTCTCGCCTTGCATCGTATTCGTAGAGAGTTTTGGAATAGAAATTGAAATGGTAGAGGGGATAATTTGTTCAATTAGATTCATACTCATTGTCGTTTGGTTTGTTGATGGTTCGATAGATGCCAATTTGGGGATTTGGTGTTTGGGATGCATGAATTGAATGAGAAGAGTTTGGCAAAATGGACGTCGCCACTGCCGAATGTTCTAGAATTACAACAAAAATATTTGAGGTAGTTTTGATTAATGTAAGGCCATGTATAAGTTCATCGAGGCGAGGGGTAACGGTCGGTGGTGATGCCCGACCGTGGGTTGTGCCAAAAGTAGAATTGTCATGAAGGGTTATATACGGCAGTTTGGTATTTTAGGTTGTAAATGTGATTGTTTCAAATAGTGTGGAAGAAGATGTTGGGGAGAGTGAGTCAAGGCTGGTGGTGGTGGAGTTAGACGAGTCTTGTGGTCGGAAGGTGGTGCTATGTGGATCTATATATGGCGGCTTGGTGGGGTTGTAAAAGTGGTGGTAGTGGAGAATTTATGACTTATATGTAATGTTTTGAAAAATTTAGGATTATGATTGCGATTAGTTATTTATTTTTCTTTTCTTTTCCTTTTGTTTTGTTTGAATCAGAGGGTAAAATCGTTATTTTACTGAAAATGGATGAAAATGACCTTTTGTACAATGAAAGATGAAATGTAAGGGTGAAAATTTAAAAAAAAATGAAATGTAGGGGCCTTTTGTGCTAATTACCCAAAGAAAAATCCGCAAGTTTTTTGCAGTGGCTTTTAAAAGAGAAATTACTCAATATTATACCTTGTTTCAGCCCCTTTTTTTCATCAAAATACATAATTTCAACAATGATTTGATCACACTTTAACAACACATTTTTTAATAAAATAATATTACACGCAAATTCATGACTTTTCTTTATTTTTTGACTACACATTTCTCATCAATACACTATACAAAATACATTTTTTTCAAAAGAATGGGGCTCAAACAAGAGCTTAGTCTAGAATAGACATAATATTCGAGTACATGTCCAACTTTAAACTTATTGCTAGAGAAATAACTAGGAGTTGAGAGTTTTTCAAGTTAATTGTTCCTTATTTGAAATCTTGAACAGTCGAGTGAAATTTATTCCAAGAAATTGTTCAATATAGATGATTCGTTAATTTATTGTCAAAATAAGTGACTTTTATCCCAACTTTTTCCAATAACATTATTATTTAAAAGTTGGGGGAGTTTGTTTCTTATTTTTGCAAAAATGAGAATAAAAAATATAGTCATTATGAGTCCCGCATAAGATATAAAAAATTAAATTTTGTGATTTGATGTGAAGAGATGAAAAACTAATAAGTAAATTTCTCAAGTTGTGCACACAAGCATGCATCGGCTTAGTTAAAGTCGTGCTTAAGAATGAGATTTCAGTTCTAAAATTTTGCCTACAGAGGAACTGGACGGTATACGCTCCTCAAAAATAAGAAGAAAAATCAGTTGCAAAAGAATCGACAGCAATGGAAGCTCAGATTCAGAATAGCAGCGGCGTAGAATTTGCAGTGGGTTGCATATTGTCCATCAAAACTACTCTTGGTGAAGAATTTCAAGCCCAAGTCATCACTTTTGATCCTTCTTCAAACGTCCTCATCCTTCATATCCTTCAAATAATTTACATAATAATTATACAATTTTTTTTTTCTATTTTATTGTTTGTAAGTTCTTTAACTGTGATAGGAAAATACAAGAAGGAGTGAAATCTGGGTCAGGGCCAAAGAGGAATATAAGGCTTCTCAATGCTAATTACATAAAGGAGTTGACTTTCTTGGGTCAAGGTGAGGACCCACTTGATATCAATAAGTGTTTTCTTGACCTCAACACTCTTCAGGCCAGAGAAGACTCTGCTATCAGGTAAATTTTCATATTAGAATTTTTATGATTATTTTTTAACTATTCCTATGATTATGAATTTGGGCGAGTTTTGTGTAAATTTTGGTTATTGTAGCATTATTATTGGGTTATTTGTGCTTAATGGCGTGATTTTGTTTGCGGGTTGCTTGTGGAATTGCGTTGCAGACAAGCAGAAATAGATGCTGAGAGGATTGGAGTGGGTGTCAGTGCTGAGGCCCGGATCATTTTTGATGCATTGGCTAAGACGTAATGCGCCTTTTCGCTCTATGTTTGTTATTTTATTATGGTATTTTCAACTCGTGGCTTTGAGTTATTCCGAAGTGCTTTACTTATATATGATATTTTTCTTTTGCTAGATATATATCGAGTGTTTTGCATAGTTAATATCTCATTTTTGTTAATCTGGATTTGCTACACATAGAGTTTATGTTGTTTTGTAATCATTAGTGTTTTGTTCTTTTGATGTTTATGTTGTCAATTCGTGACTAGGTCATATTATTCATTTGGATTGTTTATTTATCAATTGAAAAGAGACTTTATAGAACCTCCCATAATCTTGTTTCATTAAGAAGAGAGACCATTCATTGTGGATCCTTTTAGAAGATACAAATTTAGCCCGTGTTGGAGCCCCATTCTCTAAAAATTCATTTTTTTCCAAACTCATTTTCAATCACACATTCTCCAAATAAAATAATTCTCCTTGTAAGCCCAAAATTTTTCCCTACTTACAATCAATTTTTCCAAAAAATGGGGCTCAAAAAGAGCCTTGATTTGTTTGCTGCTGAATGGCCATTTCGCAATTTGGTCTTTTTAATTACCACTGGAAATATATTTATCTAATGATGTCGATAATTGTCACTAACAAGAGGTCTCTTATGATTTGCACTTCATCTTATATTATAAGCCTTAGCTGAGTAATCATTCAACAGCCAAGGCAGCTTTTGATTTTACTTGGCTTTTTTCAAGCTTTATCTTTCCAAGATGATCTGATTCAATTTTCAATGTGTTGAATTGGGATATCTTTCATCTTAAAACAGTTCTTCACATATATTACTGTGTCTGAACTTCTTGAAATTCCCAAAATGCGAGAATGATTTGTTAATATGGATATGCTAATTATGCTTTTCTGGTCAAGATCACTATTCTTTCTGCTAGAAATCAATTTCATCTAGAGAAATAAACTTTCTGAACAAGAACTTTTCCCTTATCCTACAGCTGTTTAAAACTAATATGTTATCCTCGTGTAAGAATAAAGAAAAATCTAGGAATATTCTCGAATAAATTGTTATATGTTATTACAAGCAATCCATTCCTCTGTTTTATATGCTTATCTGATTCAATGCATTCTCAAAGATTGTGTGATAAACAGAAAATTGAGAAATTGTGCTTTCTAAGCAATTGATAATGGAGGTACTCAGAGAATCTAAGCGAAAATAACCTATTCACCTAACAAGGAAACATGTTGGTGGATTGCTAAAGAGAAGCCATGAAAAAGATTAAAGAACCATTGCGAAAGCATGCAAGAAGTTGTGTATTATCTTCAAAAAATGGATGGAGGTAAAAATATTTACAGGATATCTCAATAAAGGAAGAGGAAAGTAGATATCTAAACCAAGTCAAGTGTATTATATATGAAAACCGAAGTTTTATAGTGATTAGATCATAGATGGGCAGGAAAACTATTTTGGTGAATTATTATATGGAAGGCATGCTATGGATATTGGGAAGTTGTAGAGTTCCAACGTAGGTATACATGTTAATCATACAAGAGGAATTTGGGTTCGGATAAAATGAATGAAGATGAGAAAAGCAATTGGTTTGGATAGAATTCCCATTAAGTATAGAAGAGTTTGCTAGGGTATGTATTTTATGGTTGATTAAATTGTTTAATAAAATTTTATTGAGTGTAAAGATGTTGGATGAATGGCAGAAGAAAGTAAACTAAGGGAACGATGTGATAGGCCTCCTATATGGTTTACATATTCTAGAAGAACCCATAAGAAGTAGGAAAAGGGAGTTGTTGGGAGGGGATAACAGAAGCCGTTAAGACCATGTGGACTAGACGAAGTTTGTTAGGAAATATATTATAAATAGATAGAGGCAGAATAGAAAGGAGGCAATTAGAAAGTGAGGTAGAGGATTAGCCGTGCATTTAGAGCCTTCTATAGGATTTTGTTATCATCTCTATTTGTAATTGGTTCTTTCATTCAATAAAAGGAGACGTTTATTAACAATTTGGCCTGTTCTTCTGGTGGAATCCTAACAAATTGGTATCGGAGTGATGATCCTGATGGCTCAGAAGAAGATAGACAGCAAACTGGAGGCCATGGAGAGGGATATGGAGGAAGTGAAGATGAGGATACCTGCGCTGGAAAAGTCAGTGGATCAGCTCACCCAGCACATGGCAAGAATGATGCAAGCAAAGGAAGGGACCTAGAAAACTGTATCAACCCTTATTCACCAGAAATCAGAACCTAGCCGTAAAATGGAGGAAGGGGGTTCTGATTGTATCACTGGGGAATCGGTGCCTACAAACCAGTTCCAAGGTAATCACCAAACACCGGATCGAGGAAAGGTGCCAGAAGGAGCAAGGGAATCCAGTGATGGCAGATTTACCATGAGAATGAATCCATACTGGGAGGAAAAAAATTGGAGACGAGTGAGAAAGTTAGAAATGCCAATATTAGTGAGGAGAATCTTGATGGATAGCTCTTTCGGGCCAAGAGGTACTTTGAAGTAAATGGATTAATGGAGAAGGAAAAACTCGGGGCAATTGGGGTGAGCGTCGAAGGAGATGCGTTGGCTTGGCTGTAGTGGACTGAGGCGAGGACTTCGTTTGTCAATTAGGAACAATTTAGGTAGCAGCTGCTGCTGTGATTTCATTCCACCCAGGGAGGCAGCTTGTGCGAGAAGTTCCTCGCAGTCAAATAGGAGGATTTTGTGGCCAGATTCAGGAAGTCGTTTGAAGCTTTGGCTGCACTAGTGTCAGGAATCTTAGATGAAGTATTGGAGAGCACTTTCATCAACGGATTGAAGCTAGAGATTTGGGCGGAGGTCAGATTGTTATGGCCAATTGTGCTGGCCCAATTAATGGAAACGGCCCAAAGGGTAGAAGATAAGAACATTATCACTCAGGCCTCTAAAGAAAACCCGGCCCAAAAGAATGCTAAAATGGGTTTTAACCCAATTTATTCAACAAATTCCAGAGAGGGCGAAGAATTTCCCACACGAACGATGACGGTAGGGAAACCACCGAACGCACCCAAACGAGAGTTCACGAGTTGATGAATGACAGATGCTGAATTAAAGCTGCGGAGAGAAAAGGGGTTATGCTTTTAGTGTGATGAGAGGTACACTTTCAGGCATAAGTCCAAAAAAAAAGGAGTTGCGAGTTTTGTTAATACAAGAAGAGGAGGAAATTGACGGTGAGGGTGATGAATCGTTGACAATAGAGATCGTAGCTAAAAAGGTGGAGTTATCTCTAAATTCTGTGGTTGGGTTGGCAACTCCAGGGACCATGAAGCTCACGGGGAAGGTTGGGGAGCACCTGGTGACTATCTTAATCGATATTGGAGCTACCCACAATTTTATTTCACTGGGATTGGTGCAGGAATTGGGGCTTCCTATTACGGCTACATAAAATTATGGAGTAATTATGAGTTCAGGAGAGTCCATCAAAGGGAAGGACATATGCAAGGGGGTCATCTTAAAGATGCAGGGATTAATGGTAGTGGAAAATGTCTTGCCAATAGTATTGGTGGGAACGGAAATTATCCTTGGGATGCAGTGATTGAATAGCCTAGGAAGTATGGAGGTGAATTGGAAGCTTTTGGTTATGAAGTTTAAAATGGGGGAAACCATAATGACACTAAAAGGGGATTCGAGGCTCCACAACACTGGGATCTCTCTTAAGGTTATGGCAAAAACCTTACAACAAGAGGGGCAGGGGATATGGGTAGAGCAATTGTTGGTAGCCACTAAAGACAGGAAGATTGCCGTCGGTCTGCCTCTGAGCATTGTGCAATTGTTGGAACGTTATGGGCAAGTTTTTAAGGAGCCTAGAGAATCTTCCACTAGAACGAGTTACTGACCATGCCATTTTATTAAAAGAAGGGGCAGAACTAGTAAGTAGTAGGCCCTACTGATACCCGCATGTCCAGTAGAATGAGTTAGAAAGACTAGTCCAAGAAATGCTATCCGCCGGAATCATTCAACCTAGCCTAAGCCCCTTCTCCAGCCCGGTTTTGCTTGTTAAGAAAAAAGATGGAGGCTTGCGCTTCTGTGTGAATTATCGAGCCTTTAACAAAGTTACTATCCCGGATAAGTTTCCCATTCTGTGATCGATGAGCTATTGGTCGAACTCCATGGGGCCACCATTTTTTCAAAACTGGACTTGAGGGCGGGCTACCACAAGATTAGAATTAAGGAGGATGAACATAAGACGGCTTTTCGAACTCATGGAGGGCATTACGAGTTCTTGGTAATGCTGTTTGGCCTCACAAATGCTCCAACAACATTTCAATCCTTGATGAATCAGGTATTCAAAAGGTTCTTGCGAAAATTTGTGTTGGTATTTTTTGACGATATCTTGGTGTATAACAAGGACCTTGCAGCCCATGTACAGCATTTGGAAGCTATTTTCCAGGCTCTGATAAAAAATCAGCTTTATGCCAACGTTAAAAAGTGTACATTCAGTTGACCACAAGTCGAGAACTTAGGCCATTTGGTCTTGGTGGAAGGAGTAGAGGCTGACCCGAGTAAAATTGAGGCTATGGTTAAGTGGCCCTCGCCTCGGAACCTTTGAGAACTACGAGGATTTTTGGGATTAACCGGCTATTATCGTCGTTTCGTTGTAGGGTACGGAGGAATTTTTTGGCCTTTAACACAGCTGCTTAAGAAAGACGCCTTCATTTGGTCACTGGAGATTGAGGCAGCCTTTCAACAACTCAAAATAGCAATGACGACCGTTCCAGTCCTCGCATTGCCTAACTTCTCAAAAAATTTTGTGGTGGAAACTGATGCTTAGGGGTATAGATTGGGGGCACTTTTGACACAGGAGCAGAGACCGATTGCTTATTACAACCAGTTGTTATCTCTAAGAGCTCAACAAAAGTAAGTTTACGAGCGGGAATTAATGGCTATAGTACTCTCAATTCAGAAATGGAGGCATTACTTGCTGGGGCACCGATTCATAGTGCGGACAGATCAACGCAGCTTGAAGTACTTATTGGAACAGAGGGTTGTGTCGAGGGAATTTCAGCATTGGGTGACTAAGTTACTGGGGTATGAGCTCGAAATCCAATACCGGTCGGGAATGGAAAACAAAGCGACAGATGCACTATCCCGTGTCTTGCCCCCAATTGAATTGTCAGCTATCACATTCCCCACGGTACTAGATGTCCAACTGATTGCCAACAGGTAGACTACAGATTAAAAAGTACTTGCTGGCTGACCCAGATTTACATCCACTGTACTCGATTGATCATGGCAGGTTACTGTTCAAAGGACGCCTAGTCTTCCCTCGTTCTTTGTCCCTCATCCCCATTTTACTTCTTGAGTTCCACAGCAGCTCAATAGGGGGGCATTTGGGATTTCTACAAACTTGCAAGAGGTTGACAGGGGACTCATATTGGCCGAGCATGGAAAATGACGTGAAGAAATTTGTGGAAGAATGTTCTGTCTGCCAGCTGAACAAGAACATGGCCGTTTCACCTGCAGGCCTTCTACAACCCTTACCTATTCCCCCACTTAATTTGGGAAGATATATCTGTGGACTTCGTGGAGGGGCTGCCTTAAGTCAGGAGGTTTTGATTCCTTGCTGGTCGTGGTGGATCGCCTTAGTAAGTACGCATGTTTTTTGCCACTAAAACACCCTTATATGGCTTTAGAGATGGCTGTTGTTTTTGTGAAGGAAGTGGTGAAACTCCATGGGGTCCCCCACTCCATCATTTCGGATCGTGACAAGGTTTTCTTAAACCATTTTTGGACTGAGTTATTCAAGCTACAAGGCACTTACTTGAGAAGAAGCACGGCATACCACCCACAAACGAATGGACAGACGGAGGTGGTTAACCGATGTGTTGAAGCTTACTTACAATGTTTTGCCTATGATAAACCACGAAGCTGAATAAGTATCTGCCATGGGTTGAATATTGGTACAACACCACCTTCCATGCCTCTACAAACACTAACCCTTTCAAGGCCGTCTATGGGCGTAAACCCCCTCCGTTAATACATTATGGAGCACAAAACATAGGAATATCCTCAGTCGAGCAACAACTCTCAGATAGTGATATCATACTAGATGAATTAAAGGCTCACCTTCTTCGAGCTCAAGAAAGGATGAAGTTGTCTGGTGACAAACATCGAAGGGATATCCAATATGAAGTAGGTGACCTAGTGTATGTAAAGCTTCGCCCTTATCGTCTCCGTTCATTAACAAAGAAGCCAAATGAAAAGTTGGGACTGCGATACTTCGGTCCCTACAAAATCCTCAAACGGGTAGGGGCTATTGCTTACCATCTCGAGCTGCTCCCCATCAGCTACAATTCACCCCGTTTTCCATGAGTCACAGTTAAAGAAGGCACTTAGGTACCTATCAAAAAAAAAAGAAGGCACTTAGGCCAGCAATGTCTAGCCAACAACTTCCTCCTCACTTGGATGCTTCTTTGGAATGGGTGGTAGAACCAGACCAAGTACTAGAGGTTCGGCAGACAGGAAAGGGAAATGGCGCAGAGATTGAAGTTCTTATTAAGTCGAAAGATTTACCAAGTTCCGAAGCTTGGGGGGAGTCAGCCAAGTCCATAATTCAATCTTTTTCTGACTTCCGCCTTGAGGACAAGGTGGTTCTTGCAGGTCGGGGTAATGATAGGCCTCCTATACGGTTTACATATTCTAGAAGAACCCAGAAGAAGTAGGAAGAGGGAGCTGTTGGGAGGGAATAACTGAAGCCGTTAAGAGCATGTGGACTAGACGAAGTTTGTTAGGAAATATATTATAAATAGATAGAGGTAGAATAGAAAGTGAGGTAGAGGATTAGCCATGCATTTACAGCCTTCTATAGGCTTTTGTTATCATCTCTGTTTGTAATCAGTTCTTTCATTCAATAAAAGGAGACATTTATTCACAATTTGGCCCTGTTTTTCCGGTGGAATCCTAACACGATGAAGTTAAGTTTAAGTTATTGTGATACGTCTTGCATAGACCTAAAGAAGTACTTGTTCATGAGAGTAGGAATAGATCTACCAAGATTAACATGGCCTGTTTTGGTTGTGAAGGATCTAGTTGTATTGATCTTCTAGTCAATGTAATGATAAATTGCACAGAATGGTGAAAAATAATTCATGTAGAGGAACCCAAATATGTTGGAATGAGGCTATGTATGATGTTTTTGTCCATGAGAGATAAAAATAGCTTGATTTACATGTACTGCTATGTTAACAGAGATAACCTTGTCAGTGGTGTAAAGATCAGCAATGAGATTAATGAGGATAACTTACATTGGTACCTTATAGACAGACGTTGTTAAATTTGTAAATCATTGGTCCATTCCTCGCTAAACGTCAATTTGTCATATATTTGAATGCTAGCTGATGAACGCCAAAGCAACCTTGAATAGTAATCTCGATGAACTTTTGCTCTGCTGATCTTGAACCTTTGACGTAGACTATCTTCTGAATATGCTTCCGAAAAAACTTTATTTGGCCATCTTGCATTAATGTAAAGAATATTCATTGTGGCATGTAGGAGAATAAATTCATTCTGTACTAACTGTCATATTGATTAAGGGTACTCAAAGTGGGGGTATAGAATATTAACCTACAAGGGCATGTTTGCCATGCAAAAGTGGATTGGACACAGCAATAAACAAAATTTTAGTTTTTGTATGGTACAACTCATCCTACCAAACAAGCCATAATTGGATTATGGATGCTGAGTTTTGGTATACTATTTGTGGCCAATTGACAATCTTTTGAAAAACTGGTTACAATAGGTGCCAGCCTTCATAATAACAATTGCTTCATCATCTTCACTGATGGTTATTTTGTATCATCTTGATACTTCCCAATAACAAACTTAAAGTAGTTAACTTGTCTGACACATTTAACATACTTTGTACTTTAAAAACCGAATTAATGTTTGTATCTACCTCCATCTCCTCAAGAAAGAATTCTTTATTCGTAGATGTAATATATAGCTTCTATTCCTACTGCTTATGATCTTGTTTTGCTAAGCTTATAAGGTGCTTATAATCACTGACTGACTTATATTTTTTATTATCAAACCGTTGGCTGTACAACTATTTTATCCAGGGATTACAAAATTATATGGGTGTGCATCTTATATGCTTCAGTGTCCTTTAACTGACTGATGCAGTGATAGCCTATTCATAACTGTGCGTTAGCATATACTTTTTATACAAGTATTATGTAAGGCTCCATTGGGGTTCATGCGTTTGCTTATGTGGATATGTAACTCACAAGCTCTTAAAGTAGTAAAATGAATTTATGAATTTAAATCCTTCGAAGTTGCTCTACTGGGTCATTTGAAATGATGGTCAAGAAGAATAAAACGTCATCTTTCAGTTCCAGCAATCATAAAGTCAGCCTCAACGTTACCATGTGTAATTGACCTGCAAACTCAGCTTACGATCTATAGTCTTTAACTTAAGGCGTGGAGGAACTGTTCCTGATACTAATATGATTTTTTATGTAACCAGGCTCCCTGTGCGCTGGGACAAGACCAATATAGTTGTGATGAATGAAGTGCATGTTTGCAGTCCGTATCTTCCTGAGAATGTTACTGGAGGAACTCCTGCTGCTAATGAACGGGTGCGGAAAGTGGTAAGATATATTGAAGCCTATATGAGTTTTGCTCAATTTTTGTTTTCGACTCTGTCATATCTAATTCACTCTATTTATTATTGTGAGTAGCTGGAATTTGAGAAGAAGAGGTTGCAAGCTCGCAGTGCTGGTCAGTGATGATTTCATCTTTTGAATATTGAGATGGCTGAAGAGATAAGCCTCAGAATGGGACACGATGACATTTTAAGTTATATCAAACCTCCCCAGAGAAGTAAATTCTATCAATTTGCGAGATAAATGCAAGGAACCTTGATTTTTCTTAGATATGTGAAATTTTCTTTATCACGTGCTACTTTCTGATATCTTAATGGTGATGCACTGCTGAATGAGTTTAAATTTGAGACTATAGTGCAGATTCTATTAACTCATGTTGTTCTTGAGGTAATGAAGATGTTGTACCTCGACCATCATTTCCAGTGAGCCTTAAACATAGATTGGCAGGAGGGATTATAGGCAAAGTTCTATTAGAGCTTACCTATTTTTCCCTGTCAGGTCAGGATTGTCCGATTTTAAGACACTTGTGTGCCTCACCTTTTAAGGAGATTCTATGTTGGGTGATCTAATAAAGGCCATATAAGTTCATACAAGTGAATAAAAGGTTTTATAGGGTTAAACTAATTTGCAAAGGCAGTTGATTCAATGAGTTTCTCAAAAGTTGTGTTTGCTTGATTTTTAAGTTGATTGTGAAGCTAAATTGCTAATATGTTCCAAGCCCCTTGTCCTGGGGAGATTGCCTGGGAGATAGGTGGTGCTAATATTTTTAGAGTTAAGCTCTTTGTACAGGGGAGATTGCCAAGGAGATAGGTTGTGCTTGTGTATTGATTAGGATAAAACTGTTTTTTGTCCAAGGTCCAATGAATGTACGCCATTTGTCTCTTCTTGTAGTGCAGTCTGGCAATTCTCTTTGTACATGTAGCAGGGTTGAATATATTATGTAGGTTTTAACTGGGATTAACATGCTACAAACTTGAAAGGTTGGTGATAAATCTTGTCAAAACTTAAATTGTGGGTCGACTTGTCACGTACAGGTGGAGGCTTCCAGTGCAATTTTTCAAGATTTCTTCTCCTTCCATGTTTTTTTTTTTTTTTTAATATTAATCTTTTGCACTCGAGGGCAATCTTAGTCATGGAGTGCCTCCGTTACCTCTCGGCAGGCCTATGCCGGACTTTGCAAAATATATGCTTGAAACACAGAGTACAAAACCTGCATTCTACGCCACGTGTCAAATAAAGCATAATTTGACAGCCAAATCATGTCACCAAGTGGAGTTAGAACCTAATTCTTGGATTAGAAAAAGAATATCCATGATCGAATGAGGTTCTTCATTTGCTTCCGACGGAAGCTACGATTTTTTATTTTTTATTTTTTTCCTTTTTATCTTTTGAAACCAACCATAATATTTTAATTAAGATATTCTTATCATCGAAGTATTGATCTGGTCAAAAAATTTATAAATCAATGTCAACAAAAATCAAATTTTGTGATTGTTCAATATATTATCGTTGCAAAAGAAATTTAGCATACATGGTGCATGGCGCTTTGACAACTTAGAGGGTAGATATAGTTTTTTTGTTTCTTTTCATTGGTTCAACGAACTGATCAACTGTAAATAATGTAACTAAAATAAAAATATAACTCCAATTGATAAGTTGGAACAAGATTAACACAATTGTATTTGTACAAAATCTGGAGCATGACAACAACGTTAATTTGTTTGGACTCTGAAAATTTTGCAAATGCACTTTCTATATAAAAGAATGCACAAAACCAAGAAAACAACTGGGTGGTTTGTCATTTTCAATCCCTTTTCTCTCATATCATAAACCAACGCCAACCAAATCTCATTTTCATGAAGCATTACACATACACAAAAATTTCGTCGATGTATAGAGTTGGTACATAATAAACGTGTACTCTTTTGCTGGTTAGTTTCCGATCAATAGCAAATGGAGATTTCCGTACATTATAAATTTTATCATCAGATTTTGAATTAAAGTCACGAACTTGTACGTTGTAAAGCACAATGTGTCTGTGTATATATATATATAAGTATTCTAGAATAATGTAATACATAATGAGATTGTTAAAAGAAGATGCTTATCAACTTTATCTTTTACGTGGGAGCTGAAAAAGCAAGTTCTTAAGATTGCAATGCAAAAGCTACAAACCCCAGAAATAAACCTCCCAATGAAATTTAATTTATAAATGTATTATGTGAGAGGAGAGATTCTCTTGGAGGGTTGCAGAGAAACATTTTGGTTCCTTCTGTAACTTTCGGTAACTTTCTTTGCTTTTTCTGATTTTCTGTCCCTCTTAATCCTCTTTCTTCTCAGCTCTTTCCATAGCATTGGCCATATTCACATTTGCTTTATGCTTTCTTTGATGTCTTCAAGAGGGTTTCTCCAGCCCTTTAGCAAGAAGAGTAATTTTGGAAATCTTGTTTGTCAAAATAAGTAACTTAAAAGTTTTTGTAACATATTACCTACTTGGGAAATACTTTGTTGTTCTTGACTTGATTATGGCACAAAGAAAATAGTTGCATGGACCTTTTGCTTTTCTTCTTTTTTTTTTTTTTTTTTTTTTTTCTTTTTCTTTTCACATAAAAAAAAGAGAAAAGAGAGTAAGAGAGAAAAGAAGCAGCAGAAGACATGGCAGGAGGTGGAACAGCAGCACCACCACCAAAACAAGAGGAATTGCAACCACATCCAGTCAAAGATCAGCTGCCTGGTGTTTCTTATTGCATTACCAGTCCTCCGCCATGGCGTGAGTAATTTTTTTATTTTTTTATTTTGCATGAAGAAAATTGCTTAGAATTGTTTTTCAATATTAAGTGTTTCCATGTGTGTAATTATAATAAAAAAACTGCCAACTTGACTTAATTGTTTTTGCATGTTTATTTAGTGTGTTACTGAAATTCTTTGGTGATTAAGTAAATTGTGAGTGGTTTTGTCAACTTCTTTTGTCTCCTAGGGGGAATTTTTCAAAGTAACCTCTTAAATTGCAGGCTAAAAATGTTGGCTTATTATTATTATTATTATTATTATTATTATTATTATTATTATTATTATTATTATTATTATTTTTGACAGACCTTAGATTATTTTTCTAAGTTATGCTTATTAAAAATTGTCTTCACCATATATGATCAACTTCCTCTCCATCCATACACTGTCTCCTTACATCTCCATCCCCCTTTCTCCTTGTGGGATCAGGGGCAAAGTCAGGAGGGTAGAGTTGTGGGGGTAAATTTCACAAAATTTTAATTGTGGGGGGAAATTGAAAATTATAAGGAATTTTTTTTTTTTTTTTAAATATTAATTGAAAGGAGACCATTCTTAAGAAGTTAGTAACTCAGGCTATTTTTCATTTGCTATTTCCAACTTGATGGTTCATAAACAAATTGTTCGTTTCATTAAGCCTAGGAAGTATGTCCATACAAGTTATTTATCAATTTTAATTTCTGAAGCATGAAATTAATTATTTTCTCATTCCTTGTTAAGAAACTGGTTTTCTTCTTGTAATATACACACACACACACATCTTGTCTAAATGTTTAACCTCTTGTTTCTCAATGCAGCCGAGGCCATACTACTCGGGTTCCAGCACTACGTTGTGATGCTTGGTGCGACAGTTCTCATACCCTCCGCCCTGGTTCCCCAAATGGGAGGAGGAAATGTAAGAAATCTAATATAAACTTATATTGCAAAATTTCTTGATAGTTCTTTTGTTTAGTTGTATTCCTGATAATTCGTTTGTCGAATAGGAAGAGAAGGCTAAGATCATTCAGACAATTCTCTTTGTTGCTGGACTGAATACATTTGCTCAGACATTGTTTGGTACTAGATTACCTGCTGTGATTGGAGGATCCTTTACCTTTGTTCCCACAACAATTTCCATTGTCTTGGCTGGACGATATAATAGCATTGTCGATCCTCTGGAGGTGACAAATGAGTCATTATAGAGTATTTTAGTACCAGTACTAGACACAATTGGACATTTGTTCCTCAATACATTCTTGTGCTGTGCAGTTCACCGCACCAAACATGTTAACATAGTTGATAATCCCTCTGTTATGCATTTATTTATATTGATCCCCTGAATACTGTTTCTTGTGCAGAAATTTGAGAAGATAATTCGAGGAACTCAGGGAGCTCTTATTGTAGCTTCAACTCTTCAAATTGTTCTTGGCTTTAGTGGGCTGTGGCGAAATGTAACCAGGTTCATGTCTAATCTTCTCTTGTTAGGACAATATCCACTTACAAAAAAAAAATGTGTAATTTTCCATCATGAGACGATGTTTTTACTGATGTAATGCCGCATTTTCCTTCAAACATCAGGCTCATGAGTCCGCTTTCTACAGTTCCATTGGTAGCTCTCACAGGATTTGGATTATATGAATTTGGTTTTCCACTGGTATTCAATTATTCGATCATTTTTCGAACACCAAAAATAATAGAAATTACCTTTTCTTGACATTGTTTAGCGTTATTGACTGCTTCCTCTGGTCTTCAGCTTACAAAATGTGTTGAGATCGGAATCCCAGAGCTTATTTTTCTTATAATCTTTTCACAGGTGATTTTTCCATATCTTGTACTGTAATCTGATTTCAAATAGAACTCTACACTAAAAACCCATGTTCAATATTTTGAATTACATAAGACATATTAGTTCAATACGAGTTTATGAATGTGCTATGCAGTACATACCCCATCTCATGAAAGGTGGAAGAAATGCCTTCAACCGGTTTGCTGTTTTATTCTCGGTGACCATAGTGTGGATTTATGCACACTTACTTACCGTTGGGGGAGCATACAATAACGCCCCACCGAGGACTCAACTAAGCTGCAGAACAGACCGTGCTGGAATTATAGGCGGTGCTCCATGGTAAGGCTGCATCCTTTTACATTACAAGGATGAAAAAGTAAAGACCTTTACTTTAGGCATCTTGTTTGTACTTTCGAATTAGAGAAGAATGCTAGAATTTTAAATATATCTGCAAATGGTAGCATAAGCTGTCCAATGTATACCTAAGCATGGGACGACATTGAAAGCATTTAACTGCTGTCTCACTAAGTTGGACTGTGTGGAATCTAATTAACATCGTACACTTTTCCTCCACCACAGATGACATAGGGTCCATGTTTTGGGGTGGGGGCGTAGGTACCCATGCTAGTGTGTAAAGGACTATTTGGAGGTCAATTTTTTGAGTGTGTGAGAGGCGAGAAATTCACAATGTAATCTTCCTAATTATAGGGAAAAATGGACTTACAACTATAAATTTATGTGTTCACTTTGCCTTTCTATGTTTGGGTATGCATTAGGTCGTCCTGAAGTTCCTATCATGTAAATGACTTTATGGAGATCGTTTTTATTTTATTTTATGAGAGGTGAGAAATCACACAGTCCTCT